TTATGTATGTGAGTGTTCGCATGAATGTATATCTATGCACCACATGTGTGCTGTGCCTGAGGAGTCCAGAAGAGATCGTCAGATTCCCTGGGGCTGGAGTTAACAGATGTTGGTGCCAGGAATCAAACCTCTGGTCTTCTCCGAGAACAGCCAGTGCTCTTAACCACTGAGCCATCCCTCCAGCCCCACAACCAGCTGTTTATGTGGGGTGCTGGCATCTGGAGCCAGGTTCTCATGCTTGACAGCATGTGTTGGCACCCACCCAGCCATGTCCCTGCCCTCTAGAACTCTTTCTTTTGTTGTTTTTGTTTGGTGGTTGTTGTTGTTGTTTTTTCAAGACAGGGTTTCTCTGTGTATCCCTGGCTGTCCTAGAACTCACTATGTAGACCAGGCTGGCGTTGAACTCACAGTGATCCACCTGCCTCTGCAATCACAAGTGCTGGGATTAAAGGCATGTGCCACCACTGCCCAGCTTGAGTTCATTCTTTTTTTTTTTGTTTTGTTTTGTTTTTTTGAGACAGGGTTTCTCTGTGTAGCTTTGCGCCTTTCCTGGAACTCGCTTTGTAGCCCAGGCTGGCCTCAAACTCACAGAGATCCGCCTGCCTCTGCCTCCCGAGTGCTGGGATTAAAGGCGTGCGCCACCACCGCCTGGCTTTGAGTTCATTCTTAAAAGTGCACACTCATATGTGCCCCACACACCACATGTACTGCAGCATTCATTACCAGGCTCACAGACAGTTCTTTTACTATTTTTACACAATTGTTTGTGTTTTTGGTGGAGTTGGGGATCGATTCTGAGAAGGTCTCTGCACCTTTCTAAATCTGCTTCCAGATCTGTAAGTGGGGATAATACCCATTTCCTGGGCTTACAGGAAGTAACTGAGGTTTTCTCTGCAGATGCATTAGCCTAGAAGGCTGAGGTGTGATTCAGTGTGCAGAGCTTGACTAGTGTGTGCAACCCTAGGCTCAGTTTCTAGCACTTGGGGGAATAAATTGCCAGCCAGGGGCTGGGAAGATGGCTCAGTCAATAGAGTGTTTGCCATCCAGTGTGAGTTTGGATGTGTAGCACCCATGCCAAAATCCAGGCAGAATGGGCAGCTGCTGTCATCCCTGGGCTGGGGAGGTAGAGGCAGGAGGAGGCTTGGACGGAGGCTGGCCAGCTAGTCTAGTCTAGTTGGTGAGCTCCAAGTCCAGGCAGAGACCTTGAGTAAAGCGGGGACTGCAGAGACGGTTCCAAGATCACTGGCTGCTCTTGCAGAGGACCCAGCATCCACACGACAGCTCACAGCCACCTGTAACTCCAGTGCCTGGGAATCTGAACCTGCTTCTGCCACCCCACCCCAGGCTCCTGCATGCACAAGGTGTACAAAAACTGCTACAGGCTCATAAATTAATCTTTAATAAAGTAAGGAAAGAAGATGGAGTCACTGAGAAAAACACTGGATATTGACCTCTGGCCTCCACACATATGCAGACCTCTGTACACACACATCTTATACACACAGTTTAACAATAGCATCCATGGTGCTGTTGATTTTTCTTAATCAAATTCAGGGTCTCACACATGCTTAGCAGGTGCTTTACCTCTGAGCTGTGTCCTTGCGACTCGATGGCTCTTCCTGGGCAGACCGTCTTCCCCAGTGTTGAAGGTTCTAATCAGCTTCCTTTCTGAACAGATCTAGAGAAGGGGCTCCTGAAAGCCCTGAAGGTTCTAGACAATTACTTGACATCCCCCCTCCCAGAAGAAGTGGATGAAACCAGCGCTGAGGATGAGGGCGTCTCTCAGAGGAAGTTTCTGGATGGCAATGAGCTCACTCTGGCTGATTGTAACCTGTTGCCAAAGCTTCACATCGTACAGGTGGGTGGTCACTGTGGGAGGAATCTTTCAGGTGAAAACTTTCTTAAATTTATTGTGTAAGTGGGCGGGGCACAAACGGGGTACAGAAGTCACAAGACAATTTGAGGGTATTGGGTCTCTTCCTCCATCGTGTGGACCTCAAAGACGGAACTTCGGTCACCTGACTTGGTGTCTTCACCCAGTGGAGCAATCTCAGCACCCCATGGTGACTTCTTTCTTAGAACAGTTTCTGTGGATTGTTACCAATGGTGGACCCTGCCCAGGGATGCCAACCAGGGATGCCAGCCCAGGGATGCCAACCCAGGGATGCCAACCAGGGATGCCAGCCCAGGGATGCCAACCCAGGGATGCCAACCCAGGGATGCCAACCAGGGATGCCAGCCTGTCCCTTAGCAGTTGTTGCCCAATTAAGAGAATCCAGTCAGTGATTTAAGTGTGGTTACACAGTGTCTGAGCAAGAGTGGTGTTCCAGATTTTCTGTGTGTGCCTGTGCGTGTGCCTGTGCATGTGCCTGTGTGTGTGTGCCTGTATGTACCTGTGTGTACCTGTGTGCGTGTGCCTGTGTGTGTGTATGTGTGTGCGTGTGTGTGTGTGTGTGTGTGTGTGTGTGTGTGTGTATGTGTGTGTGAGTGTGTTTGTGTGTGCACACATGCATGTGTGTGCGTGTGCCTGTGTGTGTGTATGTGTGTGCGTGTGTGTGTGTGTGTGTGTGTGTGTGTGTGTGTGTGTGTGTGCCTGTGTATGTGTGCGCACGCGTCTGCCTGTCTGTGTCCAGGGTCACTTCCAAGGAGGCTTTTCCTGCTCTGGGTCACTGCCAAATCCCAAGTTTAAACAAAGCAGGATTCTCCCAAGTCTACTGCAGTAACTCACTATATAACCCAGGCCTCCCATTTCCTCTCAAGGAAGACACAAGTTGCTGTTTCCTATGTTTTTGACATAGCCTTAAAGCTACAGTGTAACTCAGTGAAACACAGGCCGGTTAGCACTCCCCCACCAACTGAAGGAGTAGCACTCCGCAGCTGTCAAAGATCCGGACAAAGTGCCTCATTCCCGTGATCCTCCGCATTCTCCAGGCTGAGGTGTGAGTTGGAGGCCTGTTTCAAATAACAGTAGTCTCCTCCCTTCTTAAAAAGTAAAGAAAAGAACCCAATGATGTTTGGTTAGTTCTTGCCCACAGAAGGTTGAAATTTAATATAAAACATTCATATACATGACCTGAAAATCAAATAGAAAAAGAGACAAAATTCACTACAAAAATAACATTACACTCTGCTAATTATGTTTTCCTCTGTGTGTGTGTGTGTGTGTGTGTGTGTGTGTGTGTGTGTGTGTCTGTCTGTCTGTCTGTCTGTCTGCTGGAATTAGAACCCAGGGCTGGACACATATCTAGCCTATCTGCCCCTGTCTCTCTATGTGTCTATTTAATTACTCGTGAGTGCAGGTGCAGGGAGCCAGATCCCCTGAACCTGGAGCTGCCCACTGGGTGCTAGAAATCAAGCTCTGGACCTGTACAGGAGTAATGGGTGGTTCTTCACCACGGAGCCGTTTCTTCAGCCCATCTTCCTCTCGCTTTCTTTTTTACTACTATTTTTATTTATTTATTTTGGTTTCTTGAGACAGGATTTTTCTATGTAGCCCTGGCTGCCCTGGAACTCGCTATGTTGACCATGCTGGCCTCAAACTCAGAGATCCTCCTGCCTCTGCCTCCCAGAGCTGGGATTGAAGGCGTGCGTCACCATGTCTGGCTTCTCTTATTTTTAATCAAGAGAGAAAACCATTTTGGAGATTTCAAATGGCAGGTTAGATAAGGAGCCTGGCCTTTAATCTCAGCACTCGGGAGGCAGAGGCAGATAGATCCCTGTGAGTTTGACGGCAGCCTGGTCTACAGAGTGAGTTTCAAGACAGCCAGCGCTACACAAGGAAACCTGTCTTAAAAAAATAAATAAACAAGAAAAGAAAAGAAGAGAGAAGGAAGGAATCAGTAAGAGGCCTCTGGTGGGCTTAGAGTGATGACCCAATGGTTAAGAGCACTGGCTGCTCTTCCTGAGGACCCAGGTCCAGTTCCCAGCACCCACATGGCAGCTAACAACCATTTGTAATGTATTCCAGAGGATGTGACGCCCTCCTCTGGCCTTTATAGACACTGCACACATGGTGCACTGTCATACTTGGAGGCAAAACATAAAATAAAAATAAAAATTTTGAAGACTCTAGGCACATGGGTGTGTACCTGTAATCTCAGCTCTCAGGCTGTGGTGGAAGGTTCCGGAGATCAAGCCAGCCTGAGTTACATAGAGAGACCTTGCCTCAAAACAACAGCAACAAACAAATCTGTTAAGAAGCAAAGCCAGATGATCTGGAGGACCCTGGAGGGAAAGTCCAACAGCTGCAGACCAAAGCAAGCCCGACTTCCCTGGGGCTAACTTGCGAACCTCTCTTACCTCCAGGTGGTGTGTAAAAAGTACAGAGGCTTCACTATCCCAGAGGCATTCCGTGGAGTGCATCGGTACTTGACCAATGCTTACGCTCGGGAAGAATTCGCCTCCACCTGTCCTGATGACGAGGAGATAGAGCTGGCCTATGAGCAGGTGGCCAAGGCCCTGAAATGAACGCGCTTTTAAGTCTCTTTCACCCACTCTGTGCCCTCCATAGCTCTGGGAGGCTAATGGACACACTCCAGAGCAGCCACTGGTCGGGAAATCCGGGGCACTTGGGTAGGGCTGAGGGAGAAATGGGGTAAAGGAACAGGTGACGAGATTTTTATTGTGGGGTGGGGTGGGGTGGGTAGGACAACGTATTTCGGTAATAAAATACAGAATAAAAACCTAGTGTTGTTTTTTACACAAGGAGGGCTTGAAGAGCAGTGGGCACGAAATGAGGGGAGGGTCAACGATGTTAATTAAGCTCGGGGCGTCTGCCCGGAACTAAGGAGGGGAGGGTTTGGACAGGGGCTGCCATGTTTTGCATCCGTCCTTTAGAGGGCTGTTTTGCAGTCCATGTGTTGTTTGCAGCCCCGCAGCCAGGGCCAGCCGGATCTGAGTGGGCCTGGGCAGCGAGCGCTCTTGGGGCGGTGCCGGAGCTGGGGGAGGGGGGCGGGGGGCTCCGGGTCCTGGAGGAATGGGCGCGGCCTAGCAGGGCGGAATGGGCGTGGTCTCGGGAGGTCCCGCCCCGTCCCGCTTAGACAATGCCCCGGAGCCGCCAGACCATCGCGCCCCCGCCCCATCGCCGAATGTGAGCTCGCCTACCCGGGGAACCCCTCAAAAGCCCACGCTCCTGGCCTCCCCAGCTTGAAGACTCAGTCTCCCATCTCCATCAACTCTCTCCTCTGGGGGTGGGGCCAAGGCCGAGATCACAACGCTGCGTGAGTGGAGGTGGCCGCTGGTGAGTCTGGAGAGGGGGGTGTCTCCCAACGGTATGGAGAGGCTGGAGTTTGGGGGTGCTGGGGCGGTACGTGCACCGGACGCAGTGTGCAGATAACCTGCACTTGGACGAGGAGCTGGGCGGGGTAGACTTTGGTGGGAGATGGACAGGGGTACCGAGTTCTGAAGCCGGGAGTGGTTCCACGCCCCCCCGTTTCCCCGCCTTCCGGATTTCGCTTAAGACCTCTCCCAGTCCTCCGGGACTAAGTCTGGTTTATACTGGGTCGCTCGAAGGGCAGCGTGACCAGCCGGGGTGGAGAGGGAGGATGCTTAACTCCTTAGACTCTAATTTCCCCGGTTTGCCCCTCTCCTCCTCTCTCCTTCGAGCGTCCAGGACTCCCACACCCCAGCCCCCGATTCACTACCCAGCTTTCTTTCCCTGTCCTATAACCTCTGAGGGTCCCTGGCAGGACTTCGGGTCCCCCCTGCTGCGAGCAGCTGAGGGTTAAGGGGGCGGGGCCGCCGCATTTTTGGGGAGTGAGCGCATCCTAGCGGCTGCCAGGAGGGGCGCGGGGCAGGGACCGAGCGGAGCCCCCGAGCAGGGGCAACAGGTGTTTGGGAGATTAAGGATCCAAGTCTCGTTCTTTGGGCGCCTCTTAAAGCAGATCCCTGCTGAAAGGAGGCTGAGCGGGGGTCCACGGGGAAGGGAGGTGGGGAGGGGGTGGGGCAGAGTGGGAGGGGCGCCTGGAGACGGCCGGAGGAAGACCCAGGAGCTTTTAACACTCCCCCTTCTCTCCTCTGCGTGTCTTTCTCTGCTCCCCACTCCCCCCTTCTGTCTCTTCTCCCAGACAAGTGAAGTAAAGAGAAAACAGAGATCGGCTTGGCTGGAAGGGGCGTCTGTGTGGATGGGATGGGGACGCCGGGGGAGGGGCTGGGTCGCTGTTCCCATGCCCTGATCCGGGGTGTCCCCGAGAGCCTGGCATCCGGGGAGGGCGCGGGGGCCGGTCTTCCATCTCTGGACCTGGCTAAAGCACAAAGGGAGCATGGAGTACTAGGAGGTAAACTGAGGCAGCGGCTAGGGCTGCAGCTGCTTGAACTGCCTCCCGAGGAGTCACTGCCGCTGGGACCACTGCTTGGTGACACCGCCGTGATCCAAGGAGACACGGCCCTCATCACGCGGCCCTGGAGCCCAGCGCGTAGGCCCGAGGTGAGTGGCAGGGTGCGGGTGTGTTGCGGGACAGGGTGGCGCGGGTGGGGTGGTGGCGGTCGTGGGGAGGAGGCTGGATGTCTGGGGTTGGCAGGAAATAGGGGGTGGGGATGTCTCAGGCCGCTCTCTCTTCTCCCAGGTTGATGGAGTCCGCAAAGCCCTCCAGGACTTGGGGCTCCGGATTGTGGAGATGGGGGACGAGAACGCGACGCTGGATGGCACCGACGTCCTCTTCACAGGTGAGGCCACGCGTGGTCAGCGCTCCCGGGGGAGGGGCGCTTGGCACAGGGAAGCAGAGTTTGGCAGACTAGGCGATCTCAGGTCCTGATTCCAAACTCACTCTGGCCTTCAAACCTGCGTGTCCTCCCGGGGTTCAGGCCGGGAGTTTTTCGTAGGCCTCTCCAAGTGGACCAATCACCGAGGAGCTGAGATCGTGGCAGACACGTTCCGGGTGAGGAACCTGAGCAGCTTGGGGAGGGAGCGCGGCCAGTGTGCCCGAGGGCTTGATCTGGGCCCCTCACCTACCCCCGGATCCCTTTGCTCTCCCCAGGACTTCGCCGTCTCCACGGTGCCGGTCTCGGGAGCCTCGCACCTGCGCGGCCTCTGCGGCATGGGGGGACCCCGCACTGTGGTGGCTGGAAGCAGCGACGCCGCCCAAAAGGCTGTCAGGGTGAGGTGGGGCGGGACTGGTGGAGAAGGCGTGGCCAGCGTGGGCGTGGCTCGGGCTGGGGCGGCCGGGCATCTGGCTAGCTCTGGGACTCGCCCTCAGCCCTTGTCCTTACTAAGACGTTTGGCTAACACAAAAGGACACCCTAGTAAACACGGGGTGCAGAAGAAACAGGAGTCGGGGAGGGCTTGCAAAAGTAAACGGCGGCTAAAGTGCCCGAGACCTTGAGACCGACTGTGTCAATATCTCACACGTGTAACCCTTGTCCCAAGCCTTTACTTTGAGGTAGGTCGGGCGGACTCGGCTGTGGACTCAGAACTCGACACCCTCCTTCTCTCTCCAGGCAATGGCAGTGCTGACAGATCACCCCTACGCCTCCCTGACCCTCCCAGATGACGCAGCTGCTGACTGTCTTTTTCTGCGTCCTGGGTTGCCTGGCACCACTCCTTTCCTCCTGCACCGCGGAGCTGGGGACCTGCCCAACAGCCAGGAGGTGAGGGAGGGCCAAACTCCACCGGTCAGAGAAAGAAGTCTGTCTTTCTCAGTGGCAGAAAGGACAGGAGCCTTTCTCCAGAAGTCTGGGTGGGGCCGCTAGGAACTGGCTGCAGGGGACGGTGACTCTGGTATCAAAACACCTTCGGTGTCCTCCCCACAGGCTCTGCAGAAGCTCTCTGACGTCACCCTGGTACCCGTATCCTGCTCAGAACTGGAGAAGGCTGGCGCTGGCCTCAGCTCCCTTTGCCTGGTGCTCAGCACACGCCCCCACTGCTGAGGGCCTGGGCTTGGGGCACCGACTGGTCAGGAATAGAGCCGTATAGGGGGTAGAATCAGGTCATAGAGGATGGGAAGTAGGTAGTAGCAGGGAGACGCTCCAGGACAAAGGAAGGGTTAGTGTGGAACAAAGGATAGGAGCCATTGGGTGAGTCCTCTCTGTCAAAACCAATAAAATAAAATTGGCCTTTTAGGTAGGGTTGTGGCTGATGTCTCATTGGGACAAAGGGATGGGTTGAGGCCGAAACCTGAAGTTAGGTTCAGTGCTGGGAGGAGGACTCTATTTATTTATTTATTATTTAATAGTTTTTCAAGACAGGGTTTCTCTGTGTAGCTTTGCGCCTTTCCTGGAACTCGCTTTGTAGCCCAGGCTGGCCTTGAACTCACAGAGATCCGCCTGGCTCTGCTTCCCAAGTGCTGGGATTAAAGGCGTGCGCCGCCACCCCACTACCCCACCCACCCCACCCCACCCCACCCCCGCAGGACTCTAATTTAAAAACCCTCCTCCTCTTTGTGTGCTCCCTGGCTCACTCCGGCTCTGTCATAAGGCTCAGGTACAAAGAGGAACAAGAGGCTGTTGTGGGAAGTGTATCCAGGGCAGAAAAGGGGGTGCATGCATGGGTGGGTCACTTTCTGAATTCGCCTAAATGTCAGATGATTCAGACACTGGTGGATTACCTGTCCACCTTTATTTGATAAAGAAGAACAGTGTTTTCCGAGACACTTATTCGTGTATTGAGGCTTAACAGTGAGTCAAGAGGGTTCGTCCCCTGATGTCAGAAAACTCGTAGTTCCTGACATTTCCTTGTGAGTTGGCAGACAGGTCAGAATGGGATGGTTTTCAGGAGTCTGTTTCTATGAGAAAAAATCAGGGGGTTTCTAGAGCATCAAATTTTGTTCAGGAGTGGGCAAGCATTTGGGATGAGGATCAATATCTCAGGAAAGGCTACATTTGAGTGGAATCCAGGCAGGAAGTAAGGAAGAGGGAAAAGGAATCCAGAAGGTGGAATTTATTTCACCAGACCAATGAGTGTTGCAGGGAGAAAACTGGAGAATCGAAGGTGGACATGTGTACACAGGAAACGACAGAGAAGCCTAAGAGTACGCAGCACCCGTACCCAAAGCCGAAGCCTCAGGAGAGGGCCAGTGGTGGTGCTCGGGAGGGCAGGAGGGTCAGAAGGGAGTGTGGGTCACCCCTGAAGCAGATGATGAAAGTACTTTCTGGTGGCAGCTCTGGACATGGAGACAGGTTCAGATTTGACAGTGACACTAAGACAAGGCCTTGTGTGGTGGTGTGCGCCTGTAGTCGCTGTAACCCCACACTGAAGGTGGAGGCAAGGGGATCAGGAGTTCAAAGCCAGCCTCAGCTACAGGAGAGCCCGTCTTTAAAGGAAAGATGTGTGGGGAGCTTCATAAGTCCCTGTGTGGGAGAGGAGTTGGTGTACTCTGACTCCCAGTTTCTGCCTTGGGCAACTTGGGTTGGTCATGAGAATGCAGAGGAGGGCCCAGGAAGAAATGACTGTGTCAGGTTTGATATGCCTTGTGCAAAATGCCCGAGGCTAGCTGGACAGGGTGTACTAGGACTGAGATCTGGGTTGGAGGGAAGGGGGCTGAGGATTGGCTAGCTTCCTAGAAGAGAAGGAAAGAAGGAGGAAGAGGCAAACAGAATGGCCGGGCGTCTAGAAGGGAGATTTCACAACAAAGTAAATCAGGGTTTAAAGAGGGCTGATCTAGGGCCAAGTCAGTGAATGTTATCTTGTGGACTAGGACATCACTGGCAACCTTAGACTGTAGATGAGCAGCCACAGCCAATGATCATAGCAGTGGGTGTGAGGCAGGGAAATGAGGCCCGGTGTATGCCTTAAGATCAAAACGCTTGTTTGGAAAGGGAGAGTGAACAGACGGGATGTCTATTTGGGAGTTAAAACTTATGACAGACGGCTTGGTCAGCTTTAGAGAGGGCATCAGTGGTGAAGGAAAACTTACAGGAGAGATGGGGGTGGCTGAAAAAAGCCGAATAGTTGCAGAGACAACCCAGGTATCCAGAAGCCGAGACTAGTGCCTCTGTCCATGGTGCCTTCCCCCTCCAGCTGAGGAGCTTATAGAGAGAAGGGAAGCCCCGGATTGGAAGGTTTGGAGAGCAAGAGCTTCCCTTCAAACCACAACCGCATAGACAGTGGAGGCATCACCAGGAACCACTGTGGACATCCGGCGGTACCTCCCGAGGACGGAGTGGTCCAGATCAGCATAGTGCAGGCTCTGAAGGAGGTAGAGGGGGAAGGCAGACGGTCTCAGCAATCTGACCCCTTAGCTTAGAATCAGTGCACCCCCACACCACCACCCCCTCAGAGGAGACCATGTAGCAAAGTCTGAGCTCCAACCCCCTGCTTAAACCTCCAGAGTGCTGGGATTACATGGCTGCTCCACAAGCTAGCTGGGCTTCTTTTTGGGGGCCCCCTTTTCCTCCGGGATTCTAGCCTGCCTCCTTCCTCTCTCCAGGCCCTTACCGGCTCCTGGTCCAGGTGGCCTGAGGTCTTGGACTCCTGTTCTAAAGGCTGTTGCGGCTCAGCGGTTATGACTGGAGCTAAGCGGGAGGGAGGGACAGAGCTGAAGGATGGAGAGAAAACGACCAACTTTGCTACCGGCAAGGACTCAGACTCAAGAAATCAGGGTTAGGGGTTGTTCGGGTCGGAGAGGGAAAATGGGGTGCAGTTAATCTCACCAAATGCGGGGAGTGGTCCAGGCGGGGGCGGGGGCAGGGGCGGGTGCCTGTAAGGAAGTCCTTGGAGAGTCATCCAACTCGTCCCACTGGTTCCTCGGCCCACAGGCGGCGCCAATGAGAACTATGCAAACTGCAGTCTCCGTCCAGCCAAACAACTCTGGGCTCCTCCGGAACCAGGTCCCGCCCACTCTCTGGGCTTCCTGCTCCAGCCTGCAGCCTAGCACCTAAAGGCTGACCTCTCGCCTTCTATAAACCACCCCCAAGCCTCCAGATCCTTCTGGTTCTTTGCTAAAGTTAGGGTTCTGTCCCACCTCTTTCCGCCCCCCACCCCACCCCGCCCTGACTGGTTACACCCAACCAGGCTCCGCCTCCAGTGCTCACCTGCGCCGCCACCAGACCAAGCCCGAGGCACCCAGTCCCAGCACCAGCCCAATGCCCAGCAGAGGAATCAGGACCTTGGGATACTCGGAACCTGGGGAGATGCGCGGTGCAGGGAGGGATACCGAGGTCAGGGGTACGACCACAGGGTCCCATTAGATCTCCCGCTCTACAAGACTCCGCCCCGTATTTTGTCCAGGGTGTGTGTCCAAACCAAGTGCCCCTCTGCATCTGGGCCTCGACCTACCGTGGGTAGATGCCGGAGCCCTGCAGTCTGCCTTGTCCCCCAGCACCTGAAGCACTGTGCGGCTCTCGTTCTCTTGCTGTCCTTTGCAGAAGAAGGTGCCAGAATCGCCGGCGCTCAGCAGTAGCTCTAGCTCCTTGATACTAGTGTCCAGGGAACGCAGGCGGCCGGAGAAGAGCTCAAGCACCACTGGGGTCCCGCTCGACGACAACCACACGATCTTACGGCGCCCTTTGGACAGGCCCTTGCACGCCGGGAAACTAGGCGCCCAAGCCCAGCGGGCGGGCTCTAAGACATCTTTGCAGGAAAGGTTCACCCGGTCCCCAGGGCTGCCCTTCAGAGGACCTAGCGGAGGTGAAGGAAGAAGGCGAAGGCAGTTAGGTGGTCAGGGCCACTTTGCCAGGCTAGATCACACACACACACACTTTCCTCTACTCTGCCCTTCCACCATTCTGGATCTCATATAAAGCCCCCTCCACAGGCGACCCTAGTCTGTCTGTCTGGACCCATCACAACTTCCCAGGGACGGCCTACCCTCGGGGTCCCCCTGGACCCTTGAGAGCAACAGAGGCAGCAGCTGCAGAACCAGGGCCATGGCTGGGATGTGGTAGGCAGAGGCCGGAGTGAATCAGCACTGAGACCGGAGAGGGAAGTGGAGGGGCAGAGATGGGGATACTGCGGGACCGGGGGGCTCAGATAAGAGCCAGAGTGAGGCCACCAATTCCTGGATCCCTCTAGGAATCCTCACAAACTAACTAGCAGTCTTCAAATCTTTTAAAGCTGTTTAGAATTTGTGATCAAGATACTTTGCAAAGGCTCTACACTTTTTTGCAAACTAGCATGACCCCCAAGTACCACAAATTCTGAAGCTCAGCTTCCTGAGTTCAAATCCTGATTTTGCCACACAGTAGCTGGGTAATGTGAGCAAGTCACTTCTGGCTGTTCCCTCATCAGGAAAATGGAGATTAAAGCACGTGAGAGCCAAATAAATACATGGAGGGTGCCTAAAATAACAGATGACATACAGGAATGCTCAGTGCATGACATTGTTATTATCTCTACTCTTATCTTAGTTCCTATCTCACCTCTGGGTGCCCATGATGCTCCTCCCAAGCCCAAGCCCAACCACAGTGCTGTGAGCGCATCCTTAGCTATTTGGTGTGAGCGCATCTTTAGCTATTTGGTGTGGTCCCTCAGGATACACAGCCTCAGTCCCCCTTCTATGACAGAAGGCCTCCATGATGTCACAAACCTTTTCCTGTGGCTGAGCATCAGTTGGAAGACAGAGTGGGGGAATGAATCTACATTAATTCAGTCTGTTTCATCAATTTCTGCCTGCATGTCCCTGATCAATGTCTCCCTACCTCCAGGGACCCAAAGTTGATGGTCAACTCAGGCTACAACCCACTGCTCACTTCCTAGGAACTAACAGGAGCTGGCACTGTGGCTGTTTAAGTCACAGAGGCTTTTCTGATGCTCCTTCAGAGCAGTGGGGCCCTCAGTTGGGGGTCCTAAAACCAAGATCCAAAATGGAGTTGGCCACTAGTGACACTTGTCCTCTCCCATCCCCTCCCCTGTCTCCCCTCCCTACCCAGGCCTGCTTGGACCCTTCCCACCTCTGGCCTTTCTTTCTGGTTAGCTAGGTATAAGTTGGGAGGGAGGTACCACAGAGGGCAGAGCCTGGAAGGGAGGGGCCTTTGGGATTATAAATTCCAAAAAGGACGCTCAACTCTCAGACCTGGCTCCCTGAGGATCTACTGCCAGCTTCTGGGGCTGTGGACATTTTCAGCACCCTCGCCATGAAACACCTGCTGCTGCTCACCCTGTCTGCCCTGCTCTGCTGCTGGGTCTCAGGTGAGTGCCAGGGGGCCCCAGGCCCCACCCCAACCCTACCCAATACTCCATATTTCCCTCTACTCAGGACCCCAAGAAGCTCCAACCCTACCTGGCTTAGTCTCCCCAGTGCCTCTAGGATCAGATGTCTGAGTATGATGGGGGTGCCTTGCTCCATTTTTCTTTTTCTTTCTCTCCCTACCCTCTCTTCCCTTTCCTCCTTTTCCTCCCTTCATTTCTTGTCCTCTTTTTTTGGGGGGGGGCAAATTCGTGTGTTGCTAGATCCTAGTTAGCAGAAGGAACTCCACTCTGCCCTGAGCTGCCACCCACAATTTCCTGAGGCTCAACGGCAACCCCAGGTCCCCTCCCGCAGATGTCTAGAATGAGGGTACACCACAAACATCCCACCCCCTTCCGACTGGCTGGCCCAGAGCCAGCCACCAGACCACAGAACTCCCTGAAAGTGTTCCACCATGGAAAGTCCCCAGCCACTTCTTCCCCGTTACATTATGAATGGATAGGACTCTGTGGTTTTTCCCTTTAAAACTGACTGCTGCTCCTGCCTCAGAGTTGTGGTCTGGATCTCAAAACCTGGGGCTTCCCTGATATATCAGGGTTTTGTTTTTATTTTTTGGCTTGCTTGAACTCTCCCTGTCTTTGTGGTAGATTATTCTCAGACCCAAAGCTGGCCTTGAACTCCTGACTTCCTGTCTCTACCTCCTAAATGCTGGGATCTACACAAGTATCACATCTGGCTCTTTGGTCCATTATTAAGGACCGGGTCTCCACTGCCATCTTCTCCTGGCCCCCTATTCTCCTGGCCCACTCTTCTTACCTGCTCCAACACTAGGTCTCCTATTTCCGACCCGGGGGTCCTCCCTTCCTGGGCACTCTAACCCTCGGGACAGCCCCATTCCAACATGCAGTTCTCCAGGATCTAGCATAGTAGCCTTCGATCACCTTCTGCACTGAGCAGAGTGCTCACACACAAACGCCAGGATCCCACCCCACCCCTCACTGAGGTGCTCAGCAGTAGCCCTTCTTAGCTTGTTCCTATACATCCCCTCCCCCCAGGGATGCAAAGCCTTCTGGGTGGTTCCATTGACTGCATACAGCCTTCCCAAGAATCAGAAACTCTCCTAAAGAGAAGATGCCAGAGCACTTACCCCTAAAGTGAGATGGGATTCCTGGGGGCACACTAAGCTCCTCCACCCTTGAGCTGACCATTCTTTCATGGAACTTTGCATGCCCAAACCTGAAGTTGGCCAACACAGGAATCCTGGCATGCCATTCTGCACCCACTCTCCACTTTTGTTAGATGATAAGACAATCCAGTGATATGCCGCACAGGTATTATCCCTTCTTCCATAGAGTGAGAGCCAGAACAGGCGTAGAAAGGATCCATTCAGGACTGATTCTTCCCAAGCTCTTGGCGGAGGTCCAGTCAACTTCTAAAGCTGGTCACAGGTGGCTTTCTTACAGCCTCAATTCCATGCCATCTCTGAAGGCACTGCTAACTTCTACACTTTATAATTTCTTCTTCTTCTTCTTCTTCTTCTTCTTCTTCTTCTTCTTCTTCTTCTTCTTCTTCTTCTTCTCTCTCTCTCTCTCTCTCTCTCTCTCTCTCTCTCTCTCTCTCTCTCTCTCCCAAGTCTCACCCTCTTTCCTAACCTCTACTCTCGCTGTCTCCAAGCTTTCTCCATATCCCAGCCATCCCTAGCTCCAAGTTTTTGTTAGTACAATTCTTGACTCATCCCAAATAGGCTGGGTGGAGGAAAGTATTTAGGGTGTGTAGTTTCCACACAGAACAAATGCCTCCGCACAACGCCCACTTTGCATTCACCTGCTCTGTCCCTGTGAACAAAGCAGGTCAGAGACACGGGCTGCTTAGTGGGCAGGTCTCCACCCTTCCCTTACCTCAACTCATCCTCAGGTGACTGAGACATCCCGTCACCTCAGCCTGACTTCTTATCTCCCCAGCTGACACTAGATGTCATTCCTGCTACAAGGTCCCTGTGCTGGGCTGTGTGGACCGCCAGTCCTGTCGCCTGGAGCCAGGCCACAAATGCTTGACAACAAATGTGTACCTTGGTAACATCCCCTTTCCCAGGAGGGAGGGGCCAGGTGGGGGTGCTATCTGGGACCGAAGCCCATCCAGGGCTAGGACAGAGAGTGAACAGTGGGGACAGCATGTGGCCCAAGGTGATTGTGTGCCAGGCACTGACCTGCGTCTCTACATTGTGCTTGTGAATGCTTGTGACTGAAATGGGTGCTGGTGCGAGACGCAGGGATGTGGCTTACACTCAGGAAGGGAGATTAGACTGAAAAGGGAGAAGAAGGGTGGGGCCAAGCGACTTTGGGAAGGGAGAGTCGCCAATGCCTACTCCTGACCCCTCCTCTGTTGGCTCCTACCTCTCTAGGGAAGATGTGGGTTTTCTCTAACCTGCGCTGTGGCACACCGGATGAGCCTTGTGTGGAGGCCTTCAACCAGACCAACCGCAGGCTGGGCCTGAACTACAACACCACCTGCTGTGACAAAGACAACTGCAATAGCCCAGCCCCGAGGCCCGCACCTGCCCTGGCTCTTGTCTCCCTCACCTCCTTGGCTGGCCTTGGCCTCTGGTTATTGCACTGAGATTCACGCCATGGCTGCGTTCTTGCCGATTGCTGTAGCCTGAGCCTCTAACCCCATGTCCTTAGAACTCCAGCTTTCCAGAATGTTCTCCCTTCACCCCTGGCTCCTCTTCCTCTGAAGATCCTTTCCCTGTTCTTGTCCCTCTTGTTTCGGGGGACAGTGCCTAGAGTGGTCTTTCTAGTCTCCTCTCTCAGCTGGCACTCTCCGCTCCATTTTCCACCAAGTCCTTCCCCATTTCCTTGGAGAACACTCTACCTCCTTCACTGGCCACCGCAAGGGCTCCCTACTTGGATGCACACTGATGTGGATCTAGAAGGGCCACTGTCTTGTCTCCAAAACGACCCGCTAACCTCACTGCATGGGGTTGATTCGCTAAACCCTCTGCTCATCTCTTTCCATCGTGAGAAATAAATGTCGGTGTCTGATAAACCGTGTGTTTATTGTCAGGGGATATGCATGCAAATCTGGGCGTGGTGGCTCCTTTGTGATCTCAACAGCTGGGCAGTAGAGGCAAAAGAATCAGATGTTCAAGACCATCCTTGGTTACACAGCAAGTTCAAGGCCAGCATGAGCTGAATATGCTCCGGTCTCAGAGAGAGAGGGAGAGAGGCAGGCGTGGCTCTATACCCTTTTAATCCCAGCACTCAGGAGGCAAAGACAGATCTCTGAGTTCGAGACCAGTCTGGCTTCTACCTGGCAAGTTCCAAGTCAGCCAGGACAACAAGGATGAGAGAGAGAGAGAGAGAGAGAGAGAGAGAGAGAGAGAGAGAGAGAGAGAGAGAGA